ACCAGCACTGTCCCTTGTGGAGCCCCTGTACTGTTCATTAATGTCCCAGAAACACAGTTCTCCAGCCTGACAAACTGTGGCCTTCCTGTCAGGTAATCTGCGATCCAGGAAACACAGGAAGGATCCACTCCCATCTCTGTGAGCTTGTCTTTGAGTATGGTGGGTTGGAGTAAACTCTTCGCCCAGCACAATTATCTATCAGCAGCCAACAAAATTGCAACAAAAATATGAAAAAAATCTAGCATAAATTACAAAAATTACAGATAATACAGAGAGACCAGACTTGCAGCAACCTCTCGGTTCAAGCGCATCATTTGAAGTTTTGAGATCCCTCCTATTTAAACCAGCTGATGAACCAGTAGATCCTGTTTAGCCCTGCAATGTTTCTTCACCTAGCGCCAGCTCTTCTGCTGATGTTGGACTGGCTGGATAAAGTAACATCAGCCTTTTTTTCATGTGAACTACCTCACCTGCTAAAGGAGTGTGTTGGGTCAAGCAGCTGTTAGTTACAGTTACCAGATATTTTGCATTGTCTCTGCAAAATATTTGTTCTGGGATTCATTTTGAAGCAGACAAAGAGCACATCTTTTGACCCTTATCTGAGTATGAGTGCTGTATGCACATATGTTTAAACAACCCAGGCAAAGGCAGAAGAACATCTGCCAACTCTCTCAGTGTGATCCAACAAGGTGGAGTTTTTTGAAGGACTTATTTTTTGTGCTTTGCCAAAGCACTCTGCATTGTGGTTCTTACAACTTTCCAAAGGTCGGGTCTCATTAAGGAGAATTAAAGAATTTGTTTTTGTCTAGGCCTGTCACGATAACAAATTTTGCTGGACAATAATTGTGCTACAAATTATCGCCGATAAACGATATTATTGACACCATTTTTTAAATTATAGATAATGATATTATATGGCATAATAATGCGAGTACACCATGTCAAAAGTGATAAACTTTAATTTCCACACGAGAACAACACTGGTTGTTTTCGTTGACTAAAATATTTCCCTTTTCTCCCACGACTAAGACGTAACGTTGATGAGCTAAACATAAGTCGGAGATGACTAAAATGTGACGAGACGAAAGTGCACTTACGTTGATGGGACGAGACGAAAATGACGAACAGAGTTGCAAAACTCAGTCAGTTAAACGCTAAACATACAGGAGCAGCTTCAGTCTGCTCTGACAGCTCTCATCAGCCTGCTGTGCTCCTCCAACACACAGACACACACGCGCGCGCGCGCACACACACACGTGGAGTTTTGTGTTTGACGAAAACAAAACTGGTTTAAAGCCGAAATATACCCACACTTGGGCTGTTGCGTTCGGTTTAGACACCAAAGCTGTCGTGTTCATTCTGTTAGCTTGCTTTTCACTCACGACGCTCACTTGCAGCACTGTATCCAAAAAGTCTGTGTCTGTGTGCCTGTGCGCGCCAGAACTTCGTGACAAAGACACTGAATGACTGACAGGAGGGTTCACTAACTCCGTTCATTCCGCTATAGAGCCAACGCCCCCAGGTGCCGAGAACAATGCGCAGAGTGAGACCTCTTCTCTCATCCAGCGTGTTTGGTAGCGAGAGAGGAGGAAAACAAACGCACGTCAATTATCGAGGCTGGCAAAGTTATCGACCTCGTTTTTATTTATCGAGCGATAAGGCGATTTATTGATTATCGCGACAGGCCTATTTTTGTCACATTAAAATTTAAAGATTCTTCTTTGTGGCTGTAACATCATCAAACATGCTTAACTGCTGAAAACAAACACAGTATGAGCATAAGACTTTAAAGGCATGTATCTGTGACTTTGAAGACTTTATTTCTCCTTGCAGCGCTTCATCATGCAGGCAGAATATGGACTCCATCACATTATTCATGAGCCTCTAAGCGAAGCACATAAAACCTAGATCGAAAAGCACATACAGTATGCAGAAATTTAAAGTGGCGATTCATTTTGTTTAGAGGGCAAATTCTCTCATTTTTTTACTCTCCCCCCTGCCCATGCCACACTCTCTTTTCTCAACACACTCGTGCTTCCTATCTGCATGACAATTGCATATCAGTAGCTCACAGAGGCGGCGTAGTAGCTTCCTATGATACCCAAAGCGTATTCAGATAGCCGGCAGAGAGTCATTCTGAAGAGAGACTAGCACACATTTACGAGGGGAAAGTGAGGAGACATGGTAAGACCGTGAAATGAAAAAGAGAGGGATCAATGGAGCACAGAAAAAAGAAGGATGAGACAATAAGAGACTGACAACAAGGCGACAGTTCCTGCCCTCCATCTAGAGGCCTGGGAGCTGGTGTGCTAATAAAGCACATATTCGACTTTCAGACAGGTAAACTTCTCCTCTCAGGAAAATCCTTGTGAACACAACCCAGAGAGAAATTACTAAACAGACAAAGTAGTCTGAGTGGTACTATAAGGAGGGGCTTTGATGGGCACCTTCATGAATAATCCACTTTTAAAGGACTCCACGGATTAACCTCTTCACACACACATAAACGTTTGAACACTTTGGTATGTCAGCATTTATATATCTATTTATATATCTATACACATCATTTTATGATTTTCTATTTCTGGATGCATGTAATTATTACAGCCTGGTTGCAGAAGCAAATCAATGAACAAATGAAAAACAAAAATAAAACTAAGTAAATAAAACAAATAAAATTTTAAGCTCCATCCAGCCTACCTTGTTCCCAAAATGGACATGCAGATAAGTGTTCATAAAATGATAATTTTTTAAACTTTTTTTGACTGTTTTTTAAATTAATTTTTTTATTTTTTATTTTTTTTGGCTCAATACACTTGAAAAACTTCAGCCCTGACCATTAAAAAAATAATGACTAAAACATTTGATATTACACCCTTTATATACCAGTTTTTGTGCACCATGTCATAGGACTTGTATCTATTAATAATAATAATAATGATGCATCAGATTTCATATAGCGCTTTATCAGAGACCCTCAAAGCGCTTTACATTGGATACATCATTCATTCGCTCACACAGTCAGTTATTGATGGAGTGTACAACACGCCATTTTTACCTCCTTTTCTGGAGCCTCATCCTCCACCAAATCAAATGTGAGCAAATTGATTTGTTCATTTGAAATTAATTATATATATAGGCATATAAAATCAGAAGATATATGTAAGATAGGAATCACTTCCAAGTGCTTATTCACATCTAACCAAAATATGACAGCGATTACGCTGATTACAGGCATATAAAAATTTACTGCATATTTGAGATGTGATATATTCTCACCTAAAGATGGGAAGGACCCGAACTTCCTCATGCATGTCCATCCTCTTACGATGAAGTGAGGGCAAAGTTGAAATTGTCCCTATCCCCCTCTCTTTGTCCCACACTGCAGAACTTGGACGTTGTCTTTTTCGACTGTAAAAACTCCACTCACGGCATGCCCAGTTATAAACAAGGACGCAGATTTGCACTAGTGCATTCACGCGGGAGCACACAAACTTTCCTTTACACACGTAGCCCATTCTTAGACATTCAATCTAGTGGCACGTAAAGTTTCATTCAATTCTGATTATGTGTAGTGCATGAATCAGAGCTTCAAACACTCTCAGTTCATGAATGAAGACTTGCGTGCGCGGCACTGTAGGGGTTCAAATTATATGCTGGCTCAATCTGTTATATTACTGTCAGAAAGTAAAACTTAGAGCCCTGGTGATTGAGTGACTGCAAAAAAAAAAAAGGTTGCAATATGTTGTTGTGGTGCCATAAACACATGGTCAAAACAAGTGTTTTTAATGGAAGTCTATTGTCCGTTTTGCGGACAAAGTAGGGTGGATGGAGCTAAAATACGGTGACAGAGTTAAACAGGCAACTCTGTCACTCTGTTTTTTATTGTTTTTAATATGAAGGTTAAAAATAAATAATAATTAACTCTCACCAAGTTTGATGCCCCAATCTTTAAAAATGTGACTGTCTGCTCAGAAAAAAGATGAAAAAATATATATATACAAATTTTCGCAAAACAGACATTGAACCAAGGCTTGATTCATTAAAAAAAACATGGTGGATGAACTCTCCATCTTAAAGTGCAACATCACAAATAAGCAGCAGACGAGGTCAAATCTTTTCTCCATATATAATCACACTATCGTTGTATCCCCCGACTGATGCGCAAACTTTGATTACTGATTGTGAGATTAGGGTTCTTTCATCAGCAGCTGTGTAATTTTTTAATCTAGTTATCCAGATTGTTGACAGAGCTTGCGACAGCTGCAGACACAGTAATGGCAGCTATGCAAGATGGCACCACACAAACCGCTCATCAGATTGTCATTATCAGTTTGATATGACACCCTCTGACTTTTCAGGTCCTACAAGATACAAGCCTCCCCCTATGGCTACTAGGAGCTTCTGACCCCTATTCATCAATTAATAAGTGCATCACTTTGACACTGGGGGTATCATACTGATTTACAGACACCAGTTACACACACAATGAAGTGTTTACCAGTTACAAATGCCTACAGAAAGGGTCTTTAGCATTGTTCAGGGTTGGGAAAGACAAGAATAGGAATCCCTTTCTGTTATGTAGCGATTTGAATTCAAAATAAATGTCCTAAAATAATAGAATTAAATTATGACATTTATGCACTCGTTGAAAGGGGTACCACCCACCTTTTTCTGGTGGGAAAAAGACAAAACAAAGTTCAATTGAGTAATCAAATATTGAATCAGTCTTAAACAGATTTAAATCAATCTCACATCTGAGGCCGGAATTCTCATTTCAGGGACTTCACTTCTGGAAGGACCAATAAGAGACGACAACTTAAAATTAAATGAGCAATTTATTGACAAATGCTAGGTGATAACATAACTAGGGCTGCAACTAACCACTATTTTGATAATCGATTAATCTGTCGACTATTTTAGTAACTAATCGATTAATCGCATAAACACAGAAACTTTCTTTTTCGCTTATTCCAAAAATATTTTTATTTTCCAAACACCTGAGCTTCTTGAAGCGTGGGTCCAGGGCAGCTGACATGATCACAGCATTTGGTGCCGTATCTGTGAAGGATGTCTCCCTATCCCATCGCTTTTTAAGCTGCTCTGTCATAGTGGCCTGGAAAGCCTTCATCGGGGGTGACTCGAAAGAAGCATTCTGGGTGGCCTTCAATAGCCCCCTCGCAAGAGTCGGTACTGCAGAGATGGTAACATAGTTCTGCCCACTCATAAAAACAGTGGCAACCTCAAAACGCTTAAGGGTCTTCAGCAGTTCTTCCAGCAGGCTCCACTGATCTGGTTTCAAATCCAGGTATCTGGGAATGAAAGCATGAATGAAAGAATTGTAAAGCATCCTGGGTATTACTGAGGTTAAGTACTGTAGTAATGTGGTGGTCAAAGTAAATGCAAAGGAAATAATTACCTTTTGCCCTTGGGTGTGATAGAGGAGTCCAACAATGTTGCTGTAACCGGCCACCTCTGTTGGAGGAGGCTCTCCACCATATAGTAGGTACTATTCCACCTTGTGGCTACGTCCTGAATCAGCTTCTTTTGAGGTGTGTTCATCTGCAGCTGCTTAGCTTTCAGCTTGGTTCTGGCCAATTCACTCTTGTGGAAATGCTCCACCAATGACCTAGCGGCTCCAAGGGCTCTCTCTGTGCTCTGGTGGGCCTTTATGGCAGTGTTGACCGCCAGCTGCAGGGTGTGGCCAGTGCGGCGTACGGACATCCAACCATGCTTCTCCTCCAGTAATCTGGCTGCCCCCACGATATTAGCTCCATTATCGTGGACAATGGCAGCGACTCTGGTTACTGGAATTTCATATTTAGCCACCACCTCCTCCAACCAGTCTGCAATGTTGGACGCAGTATGCCTGTCCTGCACAGAGAGAGAGAGAGAGAGAGAGAGGAAGAAAATGAAAAGACAAAGAGAGAGAGAGAGAGTCAGTGAGTTTAAGTGAAAAAAAAAGTGAGTGCAGGGAGTCGATGGATGAGTGAGTGACTTTTACCTGCAGTGGCAATGTGGTTAGGCACACAGACTCCATCTCCCAATTGTCCCCTATGTAGTGACAAGTGATACCAAGGTAGGCTTTTGTGGCCACACTTGTCCAGGCGTCAGCGGTTTTACATTCAAAACAAATCTCAAACACAACATAACAAGCATTAAAACAGTTGACCCACCTTGATGGGAGGACATATCCAGGGTGGAGTGTCTTTATGAGGGCCTTGAAGCCCTCACCCTCAACCATTGAAATTGGCCTCATGTCGGTCACCAACATGTTCAGCACAGCCTGTTATGGTATCTTGATCCTTTGGTGTGCAGGTTTTGTTCTCTAAAAAGCCATCAAGCTTTTGTTGTTTTCCACTGAAATAAGAGAGTGTATATAAGAACATGGTACTGATTTACCCAGCTCCGGTTTTAGGCCGGCAATCAAACTGTGTATTATTCCCACAATTTCCAGCCAACAATATTTTTTTAATGTATTATATTCTTATACATGATCGCCCCGGTAACGTAGCGCCCCAGTCACCCAGTCACCCATCCACTACCACGATAACTCGTTTATTTCTCGCCTTTTTACTAACTACGGTAGTTTTTAAATATATCGGCATGACTTACCCCGTGCCTGCTGAAGTGCCACTGCCTTCATCCAGGCTAAGAAACCCATGTCTTCTCTTCAGATGCTCACGCATCATCGATGTACTCCCGTGCCATGCAAATAGGGCTTTCCTACGTTAATAGGGTTACGAGGATACATTTGGGAGAGGAATTTAAAGAAACTAAACTATAATTAAAATTATAAGCCCTGAACGCTTGACAGCATCACCGGTTCTTTAAGATGTGTTTGCCCACTTATTCGATGATGGTTCTCAGCGGCAATCTTGGAGCGGATCACTGAAGGCCCAGGCTACAGATGGTCTTTGCAGGGTGGCTTGCAGCCAGCCGAACGGTGTCTCTGTCGTCACACCCAAATGCACGCCAAATGCACCCCGTGGGTCCCACAGTGCTATCCTTCTGGAATCTTGTGGCAAACACAGCTCGGCAGATGATGCAGGTCGGTCCTCCGGGTGTTCAGGATTAGCTTTACTGCAGATTAATTCACGCCAATAACTTAAGAAAATAAATTCGCTAGCCAGCCGACTTTGTTCTCCGGAGTCACTATGGCGAAGTAAACAAAATAAAAGACTTAGACTGAGGTTCTCTATGCGCGCAGCTGATCACTAATGTTTTAAAGAAACTTGGGTTTGGTTTCATCCAAGTTTCTAGAAAGGTCTGCAAAACTTAAGGCAAATAAGAAAAAAAAAAGGGAAAAACTTACAAGACGATGGACGGAGACAAAAACACACAAGACAAAAAGACAATAAGAGCAAAGATGCTAAGAGAATGATAAGAGTCAGCTCAGCGCATTTAGCCCATTTAATGTGGGGCGTGAACCTAAGGAGGGGGAGCTTGTGCACCCATTCATTGTTCACAGCGAGGGCTGATCAGGCTGGCAAGGGAATTGATTTTAACTTGCGGGGTTCATAAGCGAGTTAGACCTAATTTACTCTCTCACTATGATTGTTGTTTATCAAATCACATATGATATAGTTTCACTTCATCGTTTCTTATGAGCAGATGCATCAAACCATGTAGTGAATGTTTATCCAGTCTAGGCGGTCCTGCTGGAAATTAGCAACTTTGTCTCTTTGAAATGCAAAAGATTGACTGTCAGTCTTTTGGAAGATCACCTCTTGGTTAGTTTCCCACAGACAGGAGGTTGTAAAAGACCATGGTTTGGGTGTGGAAATTCACCCCCCATCTCCTTTCAGTGACCAGAGTCACTGCATTCCTTTGAGGGTGAAATAAAGATGAGGGGCTCCATTTCCGTGCCTTGCCGGAGACGTGCCGCAGGCGCGGCGTAAGTCAGGTCCGCCGCGCCGACAAGGCGTTCCCAAGCACATTTTGGTATTTTGGTGAGCGGCGCAGCCCGGCGTAAGTATCCCCCCTCCCTAACTCAGCTCCTCCCAGCGGCGTAAGTCATAGCGAGGGAGGAGAGAGGGCGTGGAGTGGGTTTAACACAGCCGAGGCCTGTTTTCACCAATCACATAAGCTCCTCTCCTTGCCTTTAAATCCGCCACAGGCGAGGCGTATTACTATTTTCGTGAAGTAGTCAAAGAGATCAAGAGATGTCTGAAGACAGCAATGCCACATGATGGCGACAGAAGGCAGCTCCTCAACAAGTGTCACTGTAAGCGCTGCATTGGGCGTCCTCCACACTCTCTCATTTGAGCACAGATGGATTTGGTGTGTGTAATGTTGGACCCACTGGTAAGACAAACACCCTTTTCCACAAATAAAAGACACTCACATAAAGTTGCATATATTCAAACCTCACGTGACAAAGGTGGGTTGTGCGCACAGATCACAACGTAAACTCCAAAAATGGCATCAAAATTGGAACCATCTGTGTGTAAATGACGCATCGCGCTCCGTGGCCTGGCTCTTTCTTTCATAGATGTTGGCATATAAAATATGTTTGGCTCACAAAACTGAATATTATAATATTCGTATGTAGGCTTAAAGTAAATAACTCATCTGAGCACTGAAACAAATTATCTGTTCAGACGCTGCAGCAGGACGGAGAGAGGACACGGAGACGTGTCCAGGTCGAGCTGCGTGAGAAATAAGAGGAAGAGGAGGAAAGAAAAGGAGGGAGACAAATTAAATATCTTTTTAACTTCATCATGTGTGTCTATTTACTAGATATTTAATTTAATTTAATGTGGTTTCAGCTGTGTTGATTCAGTCAGGTTGTGTGTCCAAACGCGTGCCAAACGCGCTCATCAGATCAGATATAGATCAGAATATATCGATATAGATCTAAATGTATGTGCTGACTCAGATTAATAGTTGCTGATGATTATTTATTGCACTGAAATGTGCCTGATACACCGTCGGTCTACCAAAATACCACTAGACCAGCTGCGCTCTGCCTGCACTGAAAGCTGACCAGGTTTTAATCGGCGAGCTTTCAGCGCACTTTACACGGCACTGCCGAGCACGAAAATGTCACTGGGCCCGCTGATTCTGTCGACACCTCCCCCTGTCACGCCACCAAGCCCAGCTTGGCGGATCTTGGTTTGCCTCTGTGGGCCTCAGTCCACAAAAATACCAAACTGGCTGTACGCCGGGCTCCGCCCGACGAAAAATACAACTGCGCGGGGTCTGCCACCCTCGCCGCCTCACCAGCGTACACGAAAATAGAGCCCGAGAAAGTAGAAACCAGTCGCCTGCTACAGTTACATGTAGTTTGCAGCCAGTCAAAAGTTAGACAAGGTGTCAGCATGTTACTAAAGAGAAAAGTCTTTTTCTACTGAAATGACCCTTCACTCATCTTTTTATCCTCCAAGGATCAACCAATGGAGCGAAAATGGGAAAAGGTAGTTCATGTTCACAGCAAGAGTAATTCTCATATTTGAGCAGCGCAGACACTGCAAGGATTCTTGTATTGAGCTTAAAGACAGTTGCCTCCCCTGCATTTCCAGGGGTGAGAGAAAACTGTGAGTGATGGATAGAGAGCTCAAGAAACAGGGAGACTGTGGAGGCTTAAAGGAAAGAGAAAAAGGTAAGTAATTTGAGGGCAGTATTGTGTGAAAATCCATGGAAGAAAAGGGAGTTACAGAATGAAGAGTGGACAAATTAGTCATGAAAAAAAGAAAAGGAAGAGACTCCAGATGGAGGTGAGTAAATCCATTTCATCCAGATCTGACAAAGCACTACAACCCAATCCTATTTTAAGGTAATCACTGGGGAGGAAGAGGAGGTGATGGATGGAAGCAATGGCACAGATGAGAGACAGAGGAACACAGTGTTTCAGGCTGTGTTTTCTCTTTTTTTATATGTGTCCATGAGTGTAACCACATGTCCATTCAAAACAATCAAAGAGGGGTCAGCCAGAGGGCCTGAGAAAGCACAGAGGCTTACAGACAAGACAATTTCAGAAAACGTGGTACCTCATTTTCATAACCTCAGCACCCAAGAGGTAGTATATGTTACTCTTGGAGCAACAACATTCAAAAGCATCAGCCATAGCGCAACTATTAAGTGCCTTGGTAGATAATAGGGCTGTTGCAGTGTCCCAGTATTGGCTAGGACACATTTTGGGAAAAAGGTTTTTAAAAGTTGATATTATGTTAAGAGTGAGCACACTTTAGTACTGAAAGTTCATAGTTGTGGTTCTTAATGCTGGTTGCCATAAATCAGAGGCAGACTGTCCGGGAATTAGCTGCAGCAGCCCTTAAAGTGTGGATGTTCTGTATGTGCTTCTTTCAGTAACATTTACACTTTCCAGCTGTGCTCTTAACTCTACACATTGACAATTGCTATGCAAACAAAATTGCCTGCGTAGCAATGATGAGAAATGTTAGGGAACTAGCTAAATAACTGACCAAGTGAAGGCATGTACAAGGGGAACAGGATTGGTCAAAGAACTGAACCCTTGGAAACTCCACACTACTGGAAGTGAAGGAGGATATATTGCACGATTGTTAATACTGAGCTTGAACAACTTAGCTAGGACTGAAACCAATCCAAACCAGGTTTTCTGTCTGTGTAGTAAATCAGTACTTACTTACCAACCTACCCGCCAAAAGGCTCCAAGCTTTGCTGCACCAAGGCATATACAGGGATGTGCAGTTTACTGTAAGTAACCCTGTGAGGTGGGACTTAGTGAATGACCAAATTCAATGCAGCAGAGATAAATAAAGTGCCGAACTTCAGATTCTCTCTTTACACAGACTGGACTGTGACTAAAAGGGTGTTTTTACAACAAGAGTGGTTTACTAAACTACAGGGACATTCACTGGCACTAGAACAAAGTGGTGCAATCCACAGCATCATCCAGCATGGTGCTTATCTGGTCAAAGTGAGTATGTTAAGGCTTGGTATCTTGCTCAAGGGCACTTTGATAGGTGTGCATGAGGAGCTGGGGCTTGATTCCCTAACCTTTTTCTCCTGACCAAATGCTTCAATGTCTTTGTTTTTACATAGAATGATTTAGCTCAACTAGCTCATGATCAATTTCACACATAATGGAACCTTCCAATCACTCTGGCGGCTAATCTGCCTGATCCACAAACTGTATATGTTTTCAGGACCATGGAAAGTATGGAATAGAAGATTCTGTCTGTCTGGGTTCACTGCCAAATCATAGGAGTGTCATATATAATATGAAATTTGTTTTAAGCACTGCATGATTAACAAAAATATAACTTACTGTTAAAGCTGAACTAGATCACATGCATTTTATACTAAAACTGTAAGGTGTTAACGACTTAGTTCAACTGAAATCCACTGAAGGTTGATCACTGCATTACTTTTTTTATGCTCTCTGTTGACCCACACATTAGAATCTGGCACCATTTCACAATAGAGGATAGTTTTCACTTCTTTCCTTTATTCAAATGAGCTTATCTTTCTCATTAACTGGGGCTGAGGGACTTCAGGTATGAAATATAATCTCCTAACATCCATTCAAGTGCTCCAACACTGGCTCCCTGTGCTCTAACTGTCTGACTGATCAAAGTGTTGTCTGTTGTTTGCACATTGAACATCCCCTGTTCATGGTCAGACCGGTCTCTCCTCTGTAATATGCTCTACAGCTCCACACCTTTACATGCACCCAGAGATCATTACTGTCCATCTTGATGGGACATAAACAGCGTGTGGGATGTAATGCCATTATGACAAAGACTGAACTTTTGATTCCAATTACTTTTAAAGAACTGGCATCAGAAATAAGTAACTGGCCAGACATTTGAGTTTTATGGGCGGGCCCAGACATTCAGACTACACAGAAAACTACAACTACAAAACTGAAATGTGCATTCATACTTAATTGTGACTGTGTCTGCACCCAGCAGTGTGGCTTTTTATTAACCACACTGTCTAATGTATAAAAAAAACGCTGTTACACTTTGCAGTGGATGCACATCAGGCTAAGTGACTTCATATTGCAAATCAAAGGGGCCCTGATGTGTACTTAGAGCGAAGCATCTTGGTGTGCAGTGTGAGTGGTGTTAGCAGCAGCAGATAAATGTGGATTTTTGTTAATGCCTATGGACATGTTGGATCAAAAATGAGCTTTGGTCCTTTGAAAAAGGGGTGGCATGAAGACAAGCATTTGCATCTTTATACAATAAAAACCTGGTCTAAAGTCTTAAGTAAGCTGTTGCATGAGTGAGATCAGAGTATCAAACGAAGACTCAAAGAGTATCCCCACTTATTAAAGAATATCAATGTATATGGTGATGCAATGATATTGAGAGTGTTTTTTTTCTGTAAAGGCAGAGGACCAAAGATACAACTTTCTTTGTCCTCTTTTATCACAGTACTGTCCTTAGTGTGGGGCTGATAACAGATCACTGAAGATGAGGACACTACTAAAGCTATCTACAGTCTCTTTAACACAGAGTAGAGTTGAGGTAGGCAGGATCTGAGGAAGTGCCAGTATTTGGGAGAATCCTTGAATGTAAACACTACCCCTCCCAAACAGTTTTCCTCTCAGCTCCTCCTCTTCCCTCCCTCTCTGCTCCAGCAAGCCCCGCCCACAAACAGACACTCTTGCTCGCTCGTGTCGTTCCAATTAAATTCAGATATAATGCAGATAAATACTTTTTAGCGGCGCTACGTTGTTCCGCCAGAATCTCTGGTATTTATTTTGTTTTCTTTCTTGTATTGGCAGTCGTGGCCAAGGGGTGACTCAGACAATTTTCCGTACTTTCTGGTTGGTTTCTACTGTCCGATATTGTAGCTCGCTAACTTTGTTTGGGCTGATGTACATTATTCAAGGATGTGGAGTGTGCCTCACAACATGAGGGAGCAGCGTCCGCCTCACAACCAATCAGGTTGGGGGAGGCAGAGAATGGCTTTGTTTACATTTAGAAAGTGCAGCCTGCTCAAAAAAATTTAAATGTTGACTACACTGACATAACAAACGCAGCGATAGCATTATATTACCAAATGTCATTAACAACTAATAGCTATTGACTGATACTAATAGCTTTTTTGTATATAAACCACAAAAAAGACGCTTCTTTAATGGAATCATGCCCACTCCACCTTTAACTGTATCCATTTTGTGTGTTGTATAAATACATATGATCAAGTATTAAAGTTATGAAGCCCAAATACCGATTAGCAGTGAATGTTTCTCACTTCAAATTTAAGATCATCAGATTGCATGTATGAAGCTTCAAATATGTCACGAGGTTCACAGCTGTGCCTAGTGCATAATCATAATAGCTGTTAAATTTGGAAATTACCCAATGGCTTCTGCTGTTCAATATAATTGTTTCAGGGGATATGAAATCAATCCACGCATCAACAAAACATTTACAGCGGCCTCCATTTTCTCTACATTTATAGGGACATAAAAGCGAGAGAGGCTGAAATCTGCCATATAAATAGTGAAACGATCGCCTGCAGACACACCTGGATCCTAATGGAAATGAGAGGAGACACTCTGATTTGTTAGAATCTCACATGACCAAAACATTATTGGGATAACTGAGGGACTCAGGCCTTGAACATGCGTATTTTTATGAACGAATATCCAGCCCCATACACACATCATTGTTTTCAAATAAAATCCCCCCACACCAAACCGCATAAATGTGCTATTGACCGCAGTTATAAGCATGCCAGACCTGGAGTTGGTAGTATTTGGCAAAAAGTTAGACCCCTTCTATCCAATCAGAGCTAGCTTCCCTTTCTTGCCGTCACTTCCCCAAACATGAAACATAGCGCTGTGTAGTTTGTTCACTGACAAAAAGGTTGAATTTATTTATGCAACGCTTAGGAAAGCATAAATTTAAAAAGACACATGAAAGGTGGAAGAAGATTTTTTGGTGTGGAGGAACTTTCTACAAAGCACTCCTCCTTTGCTCCTAACAAAAATATATATTCTGTATGTATCTGTGCCATCCACTGCCAGACATAAAAAAGGGTGCATAGTATATGACATTGAACTATTAGTTGTTATGGACACTGATGTTTGGGAATTTAAAACTCTGGTTATCTATGTTAGCACACAAATGCAAAACCAGAGTTCTCCAAATTCTTACTTTGGCCAGAGTTTTCCAAAAGTACTGTTTTTATTGACTTAATCCTGTGGTTTCATGTAGATGGCAGGACAAGACGTATAAAAATATATTCATTTCAGCAGGCCAAAGGCCCAAACCCTACCTTGTGACAAGATTGGCACTCTCTAACTAGGACATACCCAAATCCACTGTATGTTGTGTGCGTCACACTAAATATTTTCAGCATTTGCACAGGACTGAAAGTCAGTAACAGTGTCTTATTATGACAGTCACATCAGCACTATGGAGGCCGTTTTTCTCAAAAACAAATTAAAGGGATAAAAATTATTGTACCAAAATAATTCTGTTGATTCCTCCAGGGAAGGCCAAATTCTGGATGGGCAGGGCTGGTACCCCTGGGGCCTCCCTGTAATGCTGGTTCTTAGTTTAATAGAAATCAAGCCTCTCCTGCACAGTTGGTCTTAGGGAACAAACAAACAACAAAAAAAAAAACTAAAGCCACAAATAGGATCATACAGCAAGGTGCACAATCACAGGTGACAGGAAAGTTCAGAGTAATGAAATCGACATCCAGGAAACCCAAACTTCATTCCACCCGTCAAATCAGACATGATTGCATTTCACGCTTCCCATAAAAAGAACTAACTTAAAAGGTCAATCATGTTTGCAACCAAGCAAAGGCATTTCCACTGAGAGCCTGACACATTCTGCAAAAGCCCTTTCACGGCATAGGTTAAGGAGAAAATATGAGCTGCTTTACCAGAGGCTATGCATAATAATACACTCTCTTCTTGTGCAATGTAATCATTTTTCTGTGAGCTGGTCCACAACAACGTTTAGTTATACACGCACTGTGTTGTGTCGAAATAACCTGTTTCTCATTAGTGTTGTGGAAATGCCACGGTTTGGCTTTGCTGATACATTTGCTCTCTCTTTAGCTGAAAGCCTTGGGCTACACTGTGACAGAGGCATGGACTTGTCAGCTAAATCTGAAAAGATGTGCTGGATAAAACATCAGTAATGAACAGGATTGGTTTCAGTTATAGACCTCTACATGTGCACTTCAAGAGAACCAAGGAATTTATAAAACATGGCACTTTGACACAAAAGACATAAAACAGCTTTGATGTGGTACAAGTCAACATGAAGTGTAATAAGTTAATCCACCCAAAAATGATTTGCAGTCTTAGACTCAAAAGTTCAAAGATACTGGCATTATATACACCGACACACATTTTTGATACGATTAACCCATTTCTCATCTCCCAGCTGTTGTGACGCTCCCTAGATGATTCAGAAAAGTATTACACGGTCCCGTCTAAGGCATCAACCCACTGCTGCTTCATTTGTTTTCCATTAAGGCGACATTTCTCTGCAGTTTAATACTGACACTGTATTATTGTATTGATGTCCCACATCTTCGGAGTCCAACTGCAACTCTCTGCTGACTGGGTTATCCCAGTTTTCATTATTTTAGATTTCATTTCTTTCTTTCTTTTTTCATTAGGGTAAATGCATTACTTAAAACTTAATCGTATTGTAAGAAAATCTGCTGAGCCTGCACGCTCTTTCCCAGTCACAACTGCTACTGCCCTCCTCCTCCTCCTCCTCTGTTTTTCACCTCTGATCTTCACCACAGATAAACTCTGTTTGTTGGCACTGTGTCACTCGAAACACAAATGTTGAAAATCTTCACTTCTGCTGGATCCCAACTGCAGGGGCCTTTAGGCGTCACCCCAAACTGACGTGTGCCTGTGCCTTTCAGACTTGACTAGACTGAATCTTAAAGCTATCTCCTCATTCAAGAATGAGGAGATAGCTTGCATAAGACCAAAAACTGGCTGGACTTGAAAGCGATTGATACAGAAAATCTTCAAAATCTACTGCTATGCTATGGAAGCGTAAAGCTTGGGTCAGATAAACCATCTCTCTGTCTATCAAAAAGGTCCCAGTATCAGACTCACAAGTCCCACCACTCACCACCACCCTGTGTTTTTTTCAGACCAGTCTGATCTGACCCACTTTCTCATCAGTACAATATTTGAATCAAACTAATAACAACAACATTCAGTTTTTTTATTGTCTGTAGGAGTGTGTGGAACAGACCCTGAAGGGAGACAGTCAAAAGCACTGTGATTGGTTGATATAAAACTGCACTTGCCTGCTTAGCACATGGGTGGTAGCTAAAACTAGAAAGTTCTTCAGTGATATTTTGATTTGTTTTAATGAAAAAAGTTTTGATTACTTTAAACTTGTCAACAAAGTGTTGTGAGAGATTTTCCAAAGTGAAACGTAGCTTCTAAAGACTGTTGGTGTCATTATTTTCCATCACAGTGGCTACAGGCTGTGCCTAACTACGGTGTGCCAAAAAGGACAAAAGGCATAAGATATGAAAATGCACATTTGTTCAATTCAGCTCTTAATTCCATCAAGTTTGGCATGTTTACACTGTCGGATCAACAATCTTGAGGACAAAGCTCATGCAACAAAGTGACCCAAACCGAAACCAATTTAACATTCTTCTGAGGATATGCAGGTCCTCATACTTAGGTGCTGACACTGCACTGTTTTCCTATGGAACACGAGTCAATGAGGACGATTTGAAAGAAGTCCTACAGTCAAGGGATGTCCTGAACAAGGACATTATGTGCATGCAAAGGGACAAGGTGGGCCAAAAATGAGTTCTCGCAATAGTTTTGCAAGATCTCACAAAAAATTTCAAGACAATTCTATTTTATTTTATCTGTTGGAACTAAACATGGACCATGACTTGATCAGTAGGCTCCACACCCAATCAACCGGCATCCCAACAGATCATAGTTTATGCTGTAAAGATGTGAAACACATGAATTTACTACATCAATTTTCCTTAAACATCGCAGGTCATTGTTGAAGTATGTCTTCAAACTGAATAAAGTGTTAATTAAAAAAATTAAGCAATAAAAAATTATATAAAAAATTATATAAATATATATATATATATATTTATATAATTTTCGTGGAGTTTATTCCTATGTCTTTGATCATAGAAATAGTCATAGTTGGTAGAGTGCATATTTTACCAGCGATGGCCTAATGTGGCTGTATTATCTACTCTCAACTGTTATCCCATCTCAACTGTTAGATGGGATGCATATTTTGGAAGAGCCGAATATCTGATCCCCAAGGCTTCAAAAACTGATGATAGTCTTTGAAAAGGCCTCATATGAGATGGTGGCCCGAGGCTACAGATGCCCCTATTGACATTTCCCCTGACCTTTTGAATAAGTGTCACAGTGAGAACATTGCCTGTGGTGATTTATAGAGTTGAATTTTATGACTTTACATAACCACTGATTCCACTGAGTCTTGTATCCTGGTCTGCACCTGGGAAGCAAACTCACTGAAAGTGATGTAGAAGTTAAAATTGATAAGAGCTGATATCATGGCTACTCCCCGTAGCGCTGACAGATACGTTTATGTTTTACAGCTCGGAAATCAGATTGTCATTTAGAGTTTATTCTCTTGAGGAATTAGCTCGCTTGCTATCACATCGCAGTAAACTCTCTGAATCTTGACAGCAGGAACATCCCACAGCCCCTTCAGTGAAGTGTGAACAGATTTATATTAATGTCAGTATATTTTGACATTTTCAACAGCATCCTGGATGGATGCTACTGTTTTCTGGGTGCTGATATTGCCCTTTTTAAACACAAAGAAGAATTTTCCCAGACCAGGCTTGTTTAAAGTCATCTTTTTTCACCCTCCTATGATGCCTGATGACTAATTTGCAGTCTTGATACCCCTCTGTGGAACATTAGAGACTTAAAGAAGCTTGCAAACCTGTTGTAGGTGCAGGTACTGAACACATCCACAGCTCCAAAATTCACTCTTTTTCCTTTAACTGTGACAAACAGAGTCTGCACCCTCTGTGAACAGGAGTCAACGTGGCGTTTGACTCTTGATAGCGCTGGGATTGACCCAATTTACACCAAGCAGTGAAGTCAGAGGGATTTGAAAGTTATACCCGCCAGACTCTGCTGGAGTGTGAACTGGACTGACCCCTCTGCTTTAAACGTCTGCCTTTAGGAAGCAAAGACGAACTGACAATGTGCTGCCAGTGTTGGAGTATTCCCCACGGCCTTCCAAAGAACAGTGAATCCTCTCCATTCAAGTTTGAGCATTCAAACAAACATCACAGTTCATCACAAGTCCGATAGATTAAGGCTGACACACGAACATAAGTGATTTGTTCCTGAATATGCTGACTATCGTCCCAAGATATCTCTTATCAAAAAGACTTACATGGGAATGTTTTTTTTTTTTTTTCTCTCTTCTGCAGGAATGTGAAAATGTGGCTTTTTAGGGCTCCAAATCAGAATTCTGTATGTCTTAAAATAATGATAAATTGCATGGTCTAATTTAACTCTTAGGTAATTCAAAGTATGTTAACATTTTTCCGTGCTATAGCAATATTTCTTTTGACTTGTGAATGTCTGTAAAGTCCATGCTCACTGTTGTTGCAGTTAAGTCCAGATAAATGTCCATCATCCACAGTTTTGGTAAACAGGGAATCCTCAGTTCCAGCCATACATCCATACATTTATACATATATACATTATACATTTTCTTCTACTAATCCGGGGCCAAGTCATGGTAACAGAAGGCCAAAAGGAAGCTTTCCAGTTCCTCCTCACAGATTCCAGGGCATGCCCAGACCAGATGGGACATACCATCCCCTCAGCAAGCTTTGGGTCTACTCTGGTGATGGTCTCCTTCCATGTCCCGGAAGTACTCTGATCAGATGCTCAAAAAAACACCAACTGCACAGTGTGCAGGCTCAGCCTCTAGCTAATGCGTTTTGGAGATAGTTTTTACTGTCACCCAGGAGATGACCTGATATTTAGAAAGCTGAAAGGAGTGTGTCCATAGACTGTATAAAGAATGGACAGAGTCTGCCTCGATGTTGACATGTAGTTACAGTAAGACTGGTTTCTGTCCAAGTCTTCTTTTCTTTTCTGTATGGCTCTGTTTTCAAAAGTTATTAGGGTGTTCATGTTTTCTATGATTGACACTCCAGACTCAACTCCAGACTTTTCAACAGCAGATAGGCACAGCTGTGATTTTGCGGCTTTGTATTTATCAGCAGCCTAGTAGTGCTTTTATCGCAACAAAAAATGCATCATTTAAGAACTGTAATCACTTCCTCATGTTAAAATCCCTCTGGCGTTCACCTCCACATTTGATGATTTTGATTCCCTTTTAGAAAATTTGGTAAAAATCATTGTCATGCTGCACTAGGAAAATGTGAAGAATACCTGAGATGCTGTAATGAATTTTTTGCAGCTATGATCACAAAAATAAAAAAGAAATGAAAAAAAAAAAAAAAATTCAGCAGAGAGAGAAGGCCCCACTCCACAACAGCTTTAGTATCCTCAGTATTTGTGTTTGAAGTCCTCTTAAATCTCCGGCTGACATGTGCCGCTTGACACCTCACACAGCATTGGGATTAACCCACTTTTCTCCACCATGCAGCCAGGACGGTGACATCAACAGCAATATGTCCCCATCAGAGCACAAAACGAGCAATATTTCCCCCAAAAGATGCCTCCCCCCTTCTTCACAGCTCAGCATCCCAGCTCTGCTTCTTCTCTTCTTAAATTTACTCCTGGGTCCTCTTTGCGATGAGTCCTTTTATGAGAGAAAACACTCTTTTTGAGGAAGAGACAACTTTTGGATTGGTGATACAAATGCTTCATATTTCCCCTTGTCTCTTCCCCTCGCCTCGCCAGTTTCTCTAATCACTCTTTGCCTCTCTCTCTGGTTCCTTTCTTCAGATGCTCCATTTAGAGTGATCGAGCAGCGTTTCTCAGCTTGCAGAGGTTTTCTGGTTTTCCCGGAGGTCCTTTGATATGGAAATTGAAAGACTGCTCAATGTCAGAGTAGCTGAGGCACAATCCCAGTGTTAGTGGTTCGAGCATACTCTACCTCTTTTAAAAGCTCCTTTGCTTTGGGAAAACATTGTCAAGAGAGGGAGAGAGGAGACAGCATCACAGTCTGCTGATTATAGTGGCGAGTCTTGCTGAGTACCGCATGATTAGTCCACCTGTGCACAGGCAACTTCTCAAGGACTGATATGTTGGGGATAAACACCGGCCTTTTTCTTATTTTGCTATGATTCTTCAACCTAAAATTCAGCTCATTTAAAAGAATGTTAAACACGAACATCGAAGAATAAAACAGAAACATTAATGTCTTAATGAGCCCTTCTGATCAGAGCGGTTTGAAAGCTGACAGTATGAACATTGAAACCTTTAGTATTTGTTGTCACTTCAGAGCTAATTCCCCTGTCAGTGACAATGACGGCAGATAAAAGACACCTGAGAAACAAAGGCACCTTACAGTAAAGCTTCAAACAAGGGTCTGATGTAACATGCTGCTGCAAACTGAGAACATCTCAGACGCTGATGAAACGGGTTTGACCTCTGGGTGTGCCTTGTTGAGGTAATGAAATTCTAAAATAAAGCCAGGCCATCAGGGAACCGCCTTAATTTCCCTGTTCAGTTTAAGGTCCTAACATTAACCTTCCCTACTGCTCTATTTTATTACAGTCCACAATATATCCCTTTGATACGACGACACAGATCAGGGGAGCACTAAAACTAAATGGGACTCAATGCAAGCCAAGTATTATCAAAAGTGATGCTCTATTTTTACACCAACACCAGGGTTGATAAGCAAAGCAAAAACTGTGCCTTAGCATGTGCTAACTGGCATCAGCTCACCCAATTTGAGAATAAATATGATGAGAGCTGACAAAACGAGGTCTTCAGATATCATCTTGTCATACTGTTGACTGCCAGAACAGAGGGAGTAATAATGTCTCAAAACTGCACTTCCTCTGCACACTAGCCATCATTGCTGATCCACAAGAATGAAGACAACAATGGTTTAATGAAGTAAAACCAAAGGACTGGATGAAGTCCTTCTTTGTGCAATGAGGCTATCAAAGCTTGTTCTATATTCTAAAATTTGGCACAACTGGTTAGAGGTATAACAGTACACAAAAGTCATGGTTTGGTACGCACCTCAGTGTGGGGGTCACGGTGCGGTGTGTTTCCAGTACAACAGGGAAAAAGTAACAAAATCTCACGCCTGGTTCACACAGGAAGTGCCGTGCGTGCGCGCAGCGCCGGCTCGCGCTTGGCTGTTCACACAGAAAGCGTTTTCTGCTGCGCTCTGACACGCCGGTCAGACATCGACTGAGCGCGGCAGTGCTCGGCCGTTTCCGTCTGCCCTCAGTTTTCCACACTTACGAGCGCTTTAAAAATGGGTTTATCAATATTTATTTACGTTTTTATTTCGTCAAATATAAATTAAATATTGGCAGCATCTTCAAGTATTGTTTTAAATTATTATATAGGGGTAAACGACGAATAAATTGGGGAGTCCGTTGACTCCGTTGTATGTATAGCCTTGTTAGCTCGAGGCTATTGACTGTATCGTAATAAAGTCCCCCTTCTTTGTCTCAATA